TTAAAGTCATGTCCAAATTATTATTATTATTATTATTATTATTATTATTATTATTATTATTATTAATGGTTGTATTCAATATTATATTTTGGTACAATATAAGATCCTCAGCACAGGGTATTTCAACAAGTTTCTTACGCAAAAAAACAGAAACAAGGACAAAAAAGAAAAAAACGGTTTAAAAAACACCGAAAAACTGTACAACTTAAGAGTAAAGACATGCTAGGAATTCAGGTTATTGACTAGGTTAACTCTAACAACCTGTTCGTCGCAGAGTATATTTTCTAGGTAAGGTATTATAGAACTTTTATACTTCTGCTTGCGTGCATGGATTTTAATGTAATTACGTCTCGTTCTATCAGAAGATATACAAGGAGAAAGATAAGAGTGAAGAGAATGGTTAGTATCTGATAAAATAACACTTACCATGAGTTTGAATGACTTTAGATGTCTATCCACAACCATATTAATTATGACCTTGAAAGATTCACCACACATCTTGCTAACTGCCTTCAGCACTCTCCGCAATACAGCAAAGTTTTTTTGTCAAAAGCCCGGGAAAGAATAATGCAGAACAATAAAGAATAATAGGTAATATGCAAGAACTGACAAGAATAGGTTGATTTTCATAAAACCTCTCAACATATAAACAAATATGCTAGTCACTATCCATCATTGCTTACAAATAGCTTGTGAATTAAGATAATATCAAGGCATACGCACAGTATACACATATGCCAATAACAGACTGATCAATTGTAGTCTTAAAACCTCAATGGTAAGATACAAACCAAACAATATCAAGTGAATATGTTCTTTTGTTTTGTAAAATAGTAACGATATAAAATCATAAAAATCAATATTGTGAAATGTTCCACAAAGTACAAATCACATGAATAATATTTGTTAAACTAAGAACTCTTACATATAACTAGGCAAATCAACGTGGATAACTATAAGTCTAATCTGTTACAATGAATTTAATTGACGTTTTACAACAATCCTTATATATATATTAAGTGGTCAGGTTTTATGAGGAAAGAACTACTCTATTTCGTTAAAGAAAGCATTCACTGCTTAAGGAAAAAAGATACGGAAATGTTATCAATAGTCAAGATTAAAGGATAATCTTAGCATAAGTGATAAATATACACACGGAAGAATACTAAGAATGAATGAAACATTGTATAGATTTATCCATATATGTATATTATCATTCATAGTCTATCTGTCTAGTTGTATTGGTTATTCAGATAACTGATTTGTTGCTCTTATTTATATGAAAGAAAATTTAAGGAAATGTATTAACTTTATAATAGTTATTATATATTATTACTTAAAGGATTGTTTGTTATCATAGAATGTAATCATTTCTTATCAGAATCTAAATCTTATTTCAAGTTATAACTTTGAAACTGTCAAGTATATGTGTTAGGTTTATAATTTGTTTTATTCTTTTTGAAAAGGATAATGATAAGTCTTGCAAATTGAATGCTATATTCGTTTCCTAAGCTATTCTATTATCCCCAAGCTAGAACTATACAGCGACCTGAACAACGAGAGAGAGAGAGAGAGAGAGAGAGAGGAGACACAAAATATGCGAGAAGTACTTTACTCCAAAGGTTCATTTTAATACAGAAAATATAGGGTTTTTATAATATTTTAAATGCCTTTGAGTTGCTCGAAGATTCTGGAATACTACTAAACATAGTAGCAGTATAGTAATAAACCAATCAGAACCTCTATATGTGACGTTTCACTTCCTTGATATTTTTGACTCAAACTTCAAGTGAACGCTGATTAGATGAAGCGCTTCTTAGTGTTTCCTGATCCTTGTTTGTCTTTTGCAAGAAATTTTCTGGATCACTTCAACAGATAATAGTTATACATACATAAAGTTTTCAGTTACGTATTTGATCTATTTACTCACAAATATATAGAAGATAACTTGTTTCAATCTAGATTAAGACCTTGACTCGATAGGCTAACTGGCCTAACATTGAGACTAGAAATACGAGAGTTCAAAGTTAGACTAATTGCTTGAGTTAGTAAGAAGTAAACTATTCTATCATCTGATTGATTGATAAGCGCACACGAGAAAGAGAGAGAGAAGACGATGCAACCGGATCACTACTCGATTTTCTCTTGATTACAATTCGCACTTCGATTCGGTTCCGATTCGGTATAGTGAAATAACGTCCTCAAAATAAGCTTTCGTTGTTTGTCATGACTTCTTGTTTTTCTGTTCACATCAGCTTTTTTTCATCAAATAGAACTTGGTAAAAATAAGTTTCATAAATTGAATCGGAGAATAACTTGTATTGACTCTATTACGTAAATATCAACTTTAGGATGCAGGTATATCCAGCTGATGAGTCCCAAATAGGATGAAACGCGCATCCTGGATTCCAATGCTAGTCACTATCCATCTTTGTTTATTTAATTACTTTATGCACAATGAATTCTAACCAATTTAGTTTGTATAAGTATGTTAAATCTTATTGAAATTTTTATTACGAAATACCACAGGCTGTTAAGTAGATGATGAAAGCATAAAGATATATATATATATATATGTAATGAATAGATACTTTTCTTCTGATATCAATCTTCTTCTTCTTCTTCTCTGTAAACTGATTATTGATCAAGTTGGTTTTTCGACATCTCAGTTGTAACTAAAGAATGATTAATTACGGACACCAACATGAATTAAGTATTGAGTCAATGTATTTTGTAGCATATAGTTGAATTATCTCTTATGTTGACTGCATTTTGTTGTTGTACGAATTCTGTAATGTAGAATTGTGTATAATAATATTGTCACCTAAATGTTATTTATTATTTAGTAAACATTATTTTATAGTTTATCGACTTGAAATTGTTTATCTTCTTCAGATAGATTGTCACTTATCATTTTGTAACTAAAATTAGAAAAGTAACCTTAGTGCGTTATTTCCGGTGATTAAATAAGCTAATCTAGCAAGGTGATCGAATAATAGTCTAAGAAATGGTGAAAACTCACCGTTAACTATGTGGGCAGATTATCAAATAACAATGATCCTTTATAGTTACACAAACGCAGTTGTTTACAACATACAATATCTTATGAAGGATCACAATAAAGAGGATCAAACCCGATAACACGGGTGCAGTCTTCAGAACATTCTATCGATTCGTAATGTTTGTTTTAGACATTTCGTTAGGACTTATAATTTGGGCAAAATTAATACTATTTCAAACAACAATACTTCTTTCAATAGTTGATACCATAAGTCAATTGAAGCTAAACCACTATGGAAAACCTGGAAGCACTCGTCACTGTAGATCAACTTCATTGATTATGAAAACGCATTTGACAGTATAGATAAGAGGACATTATGGAAACTTCTTCGACACTACGGAGTTCCTGAGAAGATTGTCAACATTATACGGAACTCATACGACGGACTACAGTGCAAAGTAGTGCATGGAGGACAGCTGACAGATGCATTCCAAGTAAGGACCGGAGTCATACAAGGCTGTCTACTCTCTCCCTTCCTCCTTCTTCTAGTAGTCTACTGGATTATCAAGAACTCGACATCTGAGGGAAAACATGGAATACAATGGACAGCTCAGAACCAATTAGGCGATTTGAACTTCTCAGATGACCTAGCCCTCCTATCGCGTACACACGAACAGATGCAGACAAAGACAGCCAGTGTAGCAGCAGTCTCTGCACCAGTAGGCCTCAACATACACAAGGAGAAAATCAAGGTTCTCAAATACAATATAGTCACATTTGATGGCGTAACTATGGAAGATGTGAAGTCCTTCACGTACCTGGGAAGCATTAACGATGAACAAGAATGATCAGATGCTGATGTAAAAGCGAGGATTGGCACGGCAAGAGCCGCATTACTACAATTGAAGAACATATGGAACTCAAAACAACCGTCAACCAATATCAAAATGAGAATCTTCAAAACAAATGTCAAGGCAGTTCTACTGTATGGAGCTGAAACTTGGAGAATCACTACAACCATCATCAAGAAGGTACGAATATTTATAAATAGTTGTATACGTAGGATACTCAACATTCATTAGTTGGATACCATCAACAACAGCCTTCAGTGGGAGAGAACAAACCAGATTCCAGTTGAAGAGGAAATTAGGAAAAGATGTTGTAAATGGAAATGATATATATTACGCAAATCATCAAACTGCATCGCGAGACAACGTTAACTTGGAATTGTGAAGGGAAGTGGAAGAGAGGAAGGTCAAAGAACACATTGGGTTGTGAAACAGAATCAGATATGAAAAATCTGAATAACAAATGTAAAGAGTTTGAAATGATTGGCGAGGACATGGTTGTATAGAGTGTGCTAGTTGACGGCCTATGCTCCTCCACGAGGAGTGACAGGCGTAAGTGTGGGACTCCTCAGCAGTGCGCATCCACGACCCCGACGCGCGGCATTCAAACCCAGGACCTACTGATCACACACGCGAGCGCTTCACCACTAGACCACTGAGTCGGTCGGCATTCAACAGTGTTAATTTCTAACTTCAACCAATCCATGAAATTGAGCGACACATCCACTATTGTCTTCAGTGAGTTACTATCTCACAATAGACCCGGTTGAACTCCACTGATCACTGCTTCTCACTAAAACTCCAGAATATACATCTTGAAACCAGTCACTAGTGAGCATATATTGATGTGTACTGTGGATGAGTACTGCTAAGGAGTCCCACAATAGGACGAAACGGTCGTTCAGTGCTTTTAGGTTTTCCCATGGTAGTCTAGCTTAAACTGACTCATGATCTTAACTACTGAAATTACTAAAATCTCCACAAAACCTCTTCTAATACTACTTCTCTTCAATAAAAAGTTATTAATATAATCATATATATATCAACTCTTCTGTAGAATAGATTAATGGTTTTATTGAAGTCCAATAATAAAGAACTAAACATTTCTTGACTTATTTTTATTAGAAACTTTCATTTTCTTTTCTTATCAGAGACTCAATTTCAATGTCATTCAACATGGAAACTGAATAATTTGAATTATATTCTCATCTATCAACAAATAAATCAGTATACTTATGAATTTTATCAACTGGTAAGTGTATATAATTTAAGACCAGACTTGTATGAATTGAATATGTTATTTCTTTTATACGTTAATTCATACATAAAACTGTTTGATATTGGAAACAAAAAGGCTAAACATTATTCTTTTAAAAAACTGACGGTTATTTTCATTCATTGTAACCATTATTACTGAGATTTGGGAAAGACTCTAATTTATGGACGAGCCAATCAGAAGCGTGTTAGAGATTTCAAGGTCACGGCGCCAACTTCAGTGCTTAATGCTAACGTACGATCGGTTCACAGTGAATTTTGTACAAAACGTGATAATTGAGCTGCTATAACAAATAAAATGGTGGGACTATAATTTGTGGACGAATCAATCAGGTATAAGATAATAGATCTCGGATTTTAACGCGAAAGCCTTTCATCCATTTGGCTAAATAAATTTCTTGCATTATAGCTGATGTCAGTTCATGATGAAAACCCCATATATAATTCCTAACTAAGGCAAATTACGACAATTATTGCGAACTGGATAATAAAAGCACCAGTAACACTAGCTGCAGCCAGGTACTACAATATATACGGATGTTTGGAGAGCGTACAGACTCCTACATAGACTTGGTTATGTGTATCGTGTCGTTATCCACAAGTAGCATTTTGTGTACTCAACAACCGGACTGCACATAAACAATGTTGAAGCTATGTGGTCGAAGCTGGAAGACTTTTTGAGACTTTATCATGGCTCCAGAGGCCGACTATTCTGTAGCCGTATGGATGATTACCTCTACTGCATGCATTACGATTTTAGAACCTCTGAACCTCTTTCTAACCTTGACAAGCTTTTGAACCACGTATAAGAAGTGTATCCACTTTATTTCCTTGGTTTTGTATAACATATTTTTACTCTATGAAGATTGTGTGCTTATTGGCTATTATTTCTCAGGGTTACTTAAGGTTCGTTCAAAGGTCGTCCATAGATTAGAGTCTCTCCAGATTTGAAATGATTTGTGGTTGATCACTTCAAATAGATTATTTCTAACATTGGTACATGATTGAATATAAATCATTAGTGATTATTTAATTGCCTATTTGAAATACTTAACTATTAATAGTCTTGAATACATAAGGGTATTAGGATGATCACGAGTATAGAAAAAGAAACTTACAAAATATAAGTCAGTGTAACTTACTTTATAGAATAAATAGTCATCATTGAATCATATTGCTATAACTAAATGAAATGTATGAAATAAATAACAAAATGAGTTAAAATAGTTTTGTTAATAGTAGTCAGGAGGATTAAATGTACAGAAAACCGTTGGGATAAAAATCAATAGATTTTATAAATAAACATGTATGGAAGTATTTTTAAATCACCCCCAGGCGCTATAAATTTTTTGAATTTCTGTCTCAAAAGATTGATCACCATTAATTGGAGGATATGAATTAGATAGCTTAAACCCAACAACATGTCTCTGATTAAATATTGCTAGCCACTTTCAAACACATCATAATGTTTGACCCCCAAATGCCCTGGTACAGCCGAGGGTGAAGAAAGTCAGCTCGCCCTCTCAAAATACTCTCATATTGCCAAGAGTATACAGCCACTACCAAGGAAGTCCTACTTACTAGCTTCTCATGGCATTAATATTGTTTACAAAATTGAGAGGATAAAAAGAGAATATCCGGCGCTTTACCCGGGTTGATGGGTATGGAGGGTACACCTAGGGGAATTGGAAAACCCTGATTCCAAACCAATGGTGCAAGTTGGCTCTATTATCCTGAAGGAAAAAATCATTTATTAACCAATTGTTGGTCGCTGGCTATCATAGAACTGCATCTCCTAACGTTGCTCCACTCCCTTGCGGATCAGACCTTTAGGTCGAAAGCTCCGTGTGTGCCTCTCTAAGAAGACCATCTGCTTCAGTTTGGACACCCGGACAGTATCCCAGCTCTCACACAAATCGAATGATTTATGCGGCGCATATCTATTTGGTACCTTCTTGTACTAATGTTTATGTGTTTAAATAAATAATAAAATAAAACGACAATCATTGATTCCATAATACACTTAACCAATTAATTTCAGTCATCTTATATAAAGAAATATTTATTGTTATATTTAAAGCTTATATTCTGATATAATGCATATAACTTGAGCACTTGAGTACGCTAGAATCCTTCCAAGTCACAATGAGAAGACAGAAGACTAGTGAAAGGAATGTTATTACGGACAGTGTCAAATTATAGTACAAACTGTCAGGTATTTATAGTTTTTAGTAAAAAAAGAAATCATCATTATAGCTATCTAATCTGTATACAGGGGGTTATTAGCATTGTCCAATCGGGAAGCTACACGTAGAGATTCTAGAATATCCTTCCAAAAGATCATTGGATGTAATATCTTCGGCTCTTTCTGTGCTTCTTAAAGGCTTCCTTGTGTTCACCCATGGACCGTCCTCACATTTATTTTTATAAAACTAGATTGGATTATAGACTTTATTGTTTATAAAAATAGACGCGCTCTTTTTTCTTTCAAATTTTCAAGGTTTATTTACAATTACCAGAGGAATTATCAATAGAATCAAAAACTTATGGAAAATTTTCACCAATATGGATTATTTATGGTTTACAATTAAATAAAATAATTGAACAAATAATAATTAATCGTATTTATACATGGAATTCTATTGAACGTTATAGTTCAAAATCAAAAAATATTGTATTATATAATACAAGTATAAAACTATATGAAGTACAAATTCGAAGAGCATGTAAGTGCTTCTTGTGAATTGGTTAAATTTTAATGTATTATGATGTGAGCTACTTATATTCATATAAGTAGTATATAACAATGAACAGATTTAGAATGTACTTCTGTAGAAGATCATAAAGGAAAGATCGAGAACGGAAAGTAATTCGTATGAAAATGCACGAACAATGAAATCTTAGATGATGGACTGCTATTTGCAAAAGGAAAATAATAATTTCGTCTCATAGTATTAGTGTAGTGTGGGAAATGAGGCAAATATGCATCAGTTCGAGGATCTACATTGTCAGTAGTTGACTGAATGATTGAATCATTAATGTTCATTACATCAACGTTAGGCAGAGTTTCCTAATCTCTCCAGTCTTCTTCATCTTTGCTATCAATGAAGTTATGGAAAAAGCTCTGATGAATGTGGATAACAGTGGTGTGGATCTGTTGTTTTGAGAATGACTTTACGATTATGAGTACGTGGATGATATTGTCTCACTGTGCGACGATACCCAAGCCGTGCAGTCAGAAGTTAATCGGTTAGTAATCAGTGTCCGTAGTTATGAAATGTGCCTTGCGCATCTTAATTTCAAAGTACTTTCATATGACTGGCAGGACCCTAAACCTACAATCCCTCTGTGTAGTAAGCAGACAGAAGTAGTCGAGAAGCTTGTGTATATGGGTAGGTGCGTAAGTTTTTAGATCAGTCCTTGTATAGTGAAAGAGCGGCTTATGCTAATCTGGGCCATCTTTGATGCCTTCGTGAAGTTAGTCTGACTGTAAAAGGTCGGATCTACAACGCGTTGGAGAGAGCTGTTTTTGCCCTATGCTTGTAAATCATAGGCTCTCTGAGTTGAGGATTTTAGACAATTCCCTATATTTGATCATTATTATCTCCAAAGGATTGCTGACATCCAGTGGCAGCGCCATGTTAGTAATGCAGGGGTCTGGCGACGTGTGTTCAGGCACAGTGGCGATGATTAAATTAGTGTTATAATCTATGAAACACAAACTTCAGTGACTTGAACATGTTCTACGAATGTAATCTCAGAGAATTCTATATCGTGCCGACGTTGAGATTGGTTGGAAAAAGTGAACAGCTGGTCAATGCAAGACATAATGTCGTGGTATGAAAGAAAACCGTACAGGACTGGCTTGCTTCCCGACTCCCTGGTTGGGGTCCTGAAGATGTTCTAACACAGTGGCTTGAGACATCATCAGACGTGGCTCAGAATAGAAGCCAGTGGCAATCCTGCTGTGACTTTCTTTTACATTCTTCACAGAAATGAAAGTAACTCCCTTCTTGGTGTATTTCTCCTAACTGAACTTCTTTTTCTATTGCTTTTGTTATTGTTTCACTTTCAAACATTAATTTCTGTTCACTATCCCACTTCTCTTATGTTATGCTCACCTACCATTTTGTACCTTTTCACAACCTCATTTTTATTGTGTAGCGCATACATATTTGATGCTCCCTTGTACCACTATTCATGAGATCAACTTATTTAATAAATATATCGATGTAAATGAGTAATAAAATCTTTAAAGTTTAATTCATTATGTAAAGTTTGTTTGAATTTTCTCATTGATGTGTAGAACTGCAATTCATCAGTCTCATATTGGCATGTGTGCATCCTATGAGGATTGCTTTGATATTTTTCTCATATCGCAAGTATTATAGGCAGAGATGCATAGGGACTAGCAATGTAATCCAGAACACGTGTTTCGTCCTACTTAAGACTCGTCAGTTGGACATACTCCCATCCTAGAGTTAATGTTCACTCAGAGACTCGAATCCAGTACCGTTCGCTTCAAACGGAATCGTTATATCCACTTAGCTACTGAGTCCTGATAACCACTAGCTTGTGCAATGGGGTATAGTTTAAATTTATTTTGAATTGTTTATTTGAATCTTCCCATTGAAACTCATGTCCTGTATTCCACTGCTAGCCACTATCCATTTCTACAAAGTTTAGCTAAAGATCCTTGTTAAGAGATGAAAAATACAAATTCAATAAAAATTTTAGAAGTGAACTAATATTCTGTAAGTATATCATCGATGGTAACAAAACTGAACTTGATATTCATTGAATTCTTTTCTTTTTTAAACAATACTGTGATCTTGATTTCATTCATTTGTTCTTATTAATTGTTAAATGATGAAAACTGAGACCTCCATGGAAAACCTGGAAGCATTGGACTGCCGTTTTATCCTAGTATGGGACATTAGGGTAACATAAATAGAGTATGATACAATTATTTTCTTGGAATTTTACAAATGTCAGTAATATCATTAGAAAATATCTGGTCTACAAAGTTTAACAATTCAGAATGACGTAGTGTGGTGTGTACTACTGATGTCGACAGACATTAGTAGTATGTTTCATCAATCGAAAGTGAAATGACTGGAGGAAGAAGGTTAAGAAGATCAAATATAAGAGAGCGAGAACGAAGAATGATTAGTGTGGAAACAAAAGAACAATGAAGTATGAGACGATTGACTGATATTTTCACAAGGAACAGTCAAGTTTACGACAATTGATTGACATTTTACAAATGAAGTATATACAGTATGGGTCTCAGATTTTACTAAGATATTCTGTAATTCGATTGTCCCCACTTGTATTCTCGTTTACTACAGTAGTATAATTTGTCAGATAACAAAAATAAAGTCAAGTATTTGCGAAACGTTTTATACTGTATTCTTTGAGATGAAAAGTTTGATTCAATCACTTCGTAATACTTCAACACAGAAGCATGATAATAACAATGTCGCTGTTACATATGAAGAATTAAAAAGCATAACCACATGGTTGATATCTTTATTTGGAAAATATTCCGAACACTTGGATGATATAAACGGTAATCATGGATATGATATAATTTATTCGCTACTGAGTAGTTTGTAGAATATTCTATGTTAGAATCATAAAAGATCCATAGGTTACTGCTTAGTTGTTGTAAACGATTTCATTAGTGAAGAACCGTATGTATAGGGTTCAGTTTCTTTCATTATAACTATAGAGGATATAGTTCCGGACTTTATGTAATGAGATCCAGGACGTAAGTTTTGTCCTATTTAGGACTTGTGAGTTGGGTGTACCTGAGTTTCAAGCTTCATTTTAATTTTTCCTATTGTCTTTAATTCTGAGATGCAAGTACATCCAGCTGACAAGTCCTAAATAAGACGAAATGCGCATCCTGGATTCCACTGCTAACAACCATCCATCTCTGCTTATAATGTCTTTATTTCTGTTTGTTATTTTAGTTGGAAATTGTGATGATGAACGTGTCAGTTGTACTCATGGTTGCGAACATAATGCAAGAAATCAATTTTTTTGTCATAGAAGTTGTCTAGTTCCAGGACAGACTTGTGGTAAGCTTTGTTGTAACAAGATCTTATCAAGTTTTCACGTTAATTGACATTGTAATATGTAGAGTATTTCTTAATATACAGTGGATAAACTGTCAGTTACTGGCAATCATTATATTACTCATTAGAACTGCATTTAAGATATCTAGATTTGGTTAAAATGAGTCCCAATACTCGTCAGGAAGGGGATAGTATTGTCACTGTTAATTTTTTACCAATGAAAATTTTCAAGAATGGACCAACGGAAATCCACTCATTTCGGTAAAACAAGAATAACAATGGTAGTAGAGTATTTCTAATTCATCGTTTATTTCATGCATTCTATTCATCTACTTATAACCCAACAATAATAATGTTAACTAGTATAGGAGGTCGCCCTAACACCTAAACATCCAGAGTTCAATTCTGGATGGGGCAGTGGATACTCAAATCTAAGTCACATAATAAAACTAAATAGGTCTTCAGTGCTTTATCCTTTTAAACGTCTGTCCACTTAAAGTCAATCCATGATATAATCTATAATACTAATTGTTAATTACAACTATACATACCTTACATAGCGTTCGCACAAAAACCTTGATTAGGCTTGATTTTGACATGAACTTGGAATAATGAAAGTAGTGAATATGAAAACATCGAAGAAATCGTTCATACGAATGGTCATTTGAAGAATAGTTACACGAATACTCTAGAAAAGAACACAGAAGTAATTGCACATAGAATTCTAGAAGTGGAAAATTAATGTCATACCTTACATAATACAAGATAGATAAATGACTTAGTAAAGTTTGTAAAAGAAGCAAGAAACAGGAAAATTTTTTTATAATTTAAAGTACAAACGGTGATAATACGTAATTGATCGTTGAAATTAAGATTATCGGCGCAAAGTACGATTGATTAGTGTCATTTTGAACGAATTATTTAGGTTCAAAATTCTTTATAATGATGGCTTCAGTAATGCTTAACATTGTTGAATTCATTCACTTTGTGGGTCATTTTGAACCAATTTGAAACATCAATGATATAAATCACAATCACACAGACAATGTTGCATTATACATAAAAAATATCATGATAGTGGACTATTCTCTGATATGTCAACAAATACAGTCAAACTGACAATGATGGCAAATAATGCAAATAAAGCCAAATAACTTTAGCCTCGTTTTTCACACTACTTTTAAAAATAAAGTAATTTGTCAATAAAATAAAAAACATTACAACAAGCTTGTGATTAATTATCCATTCTACTGAATTGGTTGATACGATGTTCATCAAAACATACAGATGTTGATTAGAAAAACGAGAACACAGTTACGCAATAGGTTGCGTTATTTTATTGGTTCATCATGGTTATTCGCACCATTCCAAATAGATATTTGCTGAATTCATGGTAACTGTATGATGTCGTATAATAATAAATGCATTTTACCATCAAATTGTAGGTAACATTATTCATGATTCGTGTAAATTTCATCCAAATTATTATGGTACATGGGATTTAATTGAACCGAGTTCAATTCAAGAATCAGTGGGATATGAACATCCAAGTAGTCGTTTAATGGCTCAGTTTTTCATTAAAAATGACAAATTAATTATATCTTCAGTAACTGGTATATCGTATACTATGGATTTGTATTGTGTTAAAGAAATACAAGAATCCTTATATGATCGTTATATTCTACGAAGTGATTATCAAACAAATGGATGGTAAGTTGAAGTAAAATTGATGAATTTCAAATGACTTTCTATTCACTATAAAACCTAGAATTAGTTAGATAGTTTTCAAGATGTTTGAAAGTTGGAGAAAATTGTAGCTTTGGCTTTGAAATTCGTCTTTAGTAGTGTTGTATTTTCTGAGCTATGATCTATGAAAACTAGATTGGGAAAATTATTAACACACGTTACAACAGTTCAACGTTAATAATCAGTACATCTAAGAGAGAAATAGAGCAAGAAGAACGTACTCTCAGGAGAGCTTTTGGGGAAAACTTATTGGAATAACACTGGAAGAACTATATTATATTCAATTTCACTCATCTGTATAACGATTAAATGCAATGGTTAATATTTATAGAGATAATTAAACTGACAAGTCTCTATTTTAATCCAAAATCATAAGGGATTATTACAATTGAATTTTTTTGTTGAAACGAAGAGAGACTGAAGATCCTGGGTTCAGGTTCCCACCTGTGGAGTCGTAAATGCACAATGCTTAGGAGTCCGGTACTAAAATAATATAGATATCCAATGGTTCCAAGTTTCTAATAGTATTCTGAAAGTAATGAGTTCGTGGCTTCAATAAAAATAAACTTAGGTTATACTGAATAAAATCTCACAGGGCGGGATCGTAAATGGGTATCGCTGAGGAGTCCCATACTAGGACAAAACGGCCGTCCAGTACTTCCAGGTTTTCCATGAAATCGACTCATTATCTCAACTATTAAATTACTATAATATCCACAAAAACCCTTTCCTGATATTAATCAACATGTGCTCACTGATGACTAGCTTCAAGAGGTATATCCTGGAGTTCTAGTGAGAAGCAGTGACCACTGGAGTTCGTCCGGATCTGTTGTGTGATAGTAACTCATTGAAGACAATGATGAATGTGTCGCTCAATTTCATGGATTGGTTGAAGTTAGACGTTAATATCGTTGGAAGCCATCTCAGTGGTCTAGATTCGCGCACTAGCCTGATAGATCCTAGGTTCAGATCCCTCAGGGCAGTGTTGTGGATAGACACTTCTGAGGAGTGCCACAATAGGACGAAATGGCCATCCAGTGCTTCCATATTTTCCATAGTGGTCTAACTTAAATTGACTCATGATCTCAACGATTAAATTACTAAAATATCCACACAAAAAACCTTTTCTGTTATTGACTTCAATTTAAATGAATAGAAATCACATTGAATGAAAATTACATCTAAAATCAATACATGATTATCCACTTAGTTTCTTCCCATTAAATTACGGTTGGTGACATTAAAATCAGTGGTATATATTTTCTTTGTGAAAATATAATTATTGTCTAGTGATTAAGTATTATTACGTAACAATAGTCTTGTTACCTCGGAAAATAAATGAATGAAATAAATTTACATAAATTTAAATAGTACAAAGGAACCAATTTGACTAGTTGGCGTAATTCAAAAGTTAGATATTAACACCATTGGATGCCGGCTCAGTGGTCTAGTTCGTTAAGCGCCTGGAGCGAGACTGAAAGGTACTGAGTTTGAGTCTCGCGGGGTGCGGGATCGTGGATGCACACTGCTGAGGAGTCCCATACTAGGAAGTAATGGCCGTCCAGTGCTTCCAGGTTTTCCATAGTGATCTAGCTTCAATTGACTCATAATTTCAATCAAAAAATAATCCAAACAAGTTTGATCGTGTTAACGTAAAGTTATTCTGGTTAAATGTAAAGACATTTATCTTTGTTTTGGTGTAGATTTGACTGAACATACAAAGATATATATGGTATATGGTATTAGATATTGACATGATCAGGCTTGTTTTAATTGGAAATGATAGTTATCATGTTAAGTAGTTAGAAATAAATGAAATAACAATGAGGAATTGATCTGTAAGGTTATCAATTCATTCTTTAATGTTCTATGAATGTTTTTTGTAATCAGCGTTTCCGGGTATTTTCCCTTTCATTTCATAAGTATCCATTTCACTAAAAATATTATTTTATGCATCTTAAGTTATCCACATTTGTTTACTATTTATTATTTATTTATTTGAAAACATAAATATTGGTACAAAGGGGCACCGAATACATATGCACCACACAAGTCACTTGATTTGTATGTGGGCTATGATACTTCCTGGGTGCCCAAACTGTAGCAGATTGTTTTCTTAGGGGACTATACCCGAAGCCTTCGACCTAAAGGTCTGATCGGTAAGAAAGTGGAACAGCATCAGGATATGGAGTCCCATATTAGCCGATGACTGACGATTAGGTGATATGCCACTTACTCCTTTAGGATACTGGAGCTCATGTACACCATTGGTTTGAAATCAGGGTTTTCCAACTCCCCTTAGGTGGACCCTCCATATCTACTAACCCGGTTAAAGCGCCGGACATTTGTTTTTTGTTCTCTCAATTTCGTAAACAACATCCCTTCTGAGAAAAGACAGTGAGTAGGACTTCCTTGGTAGTGGTTGTATACGTGTGGCAATGTGAGAGTATTTCGAGAGAGAGAACTGACTTTCACCTGTACCAGGGCATTTGGAGGCACTTCAGTTTAGCTTATCTCCATAGTCTTTATAATGAACATAAAAGTTTTGAAATGTAGAATTTCAAATGAAATTTCCCGTGAAAGTTACATTCTTACATGCAGTAATTTGCAACTAAATGAATGGAAAAAATGTTGAAAATTGATGGATACTGTACATTTATTGAACATTGAAAATTATAATACAATCATTTGAGAAAACATAGGCAAAAGAATAATACTGTAATGAACCCATGAAAGATAAAAGAAATAAATGTGATTACATTGTGGAGGTAATTAGCAATATATTTGTTTAAATGAAATTTCATAGATTCAATAGTAATCATTCAGTTTATCTTGCAAAACTATTTCGGGACGTATTATTCACTCTCAAACCAGGAGATTGGGCGCAGGTGCATCCACTCTTTGTGTTCTCCCAAATTTTAATCTTCTGAATTCTTCATGTGCCATTTTTTCTCTTTCCAAATTTATTTCATTAGATTATACTCCTTGAATAATGTCTTCAAACCCTAATCTTACTGATTATTGTTTATACTTTTACTACCTCTACCAATATGGGATTTGAATCGATAATTGTATCTCTGTGATGTGGTATGGCAACTTGAACTAATGTAGATACGTACGTTCGTATGTTCGTACGTACGTACGTAGTTCTACGTTGTTACTGACTGACTGATTCAATTTATTTTGACATTTATTTTAGTTATTCCAGAGATCTATGTTTAGAAATCTATCGTGGTAATAAAAATGATTTCGAAACATCATCAATTGTCAATGCAATACTTTATAGAATGTGTAAGTAATCGTTTTACATAATACAATTATTTCATTCTGTTATTTATATTTTGACACGAATTCATTTACAATGACATTACTTCACGATATCATAAACTGATTAAAGTTAGAAATTTGAACTATATTGTTTGGATGTTTAGTAAAGCTGTGTTGTATCCAGAGTAGTCGAATTATTATGTATGGTTTCAAATAAGATTAAATATGCTTCTTGGATTTCCCTATCAACTACATTTCATCTTTACTTAAGTGTATTATGAAATAAAAAATCGGATTGATTGAGGTTGGACATGAACATCGTTGGATGCTGACTCAGTTGTTTAGAAGTTAAGCTTTCGAACGCGAAACTGAAGGCTCTGGGTTCGAATCTTGTGAGTGGGATCGTTGATGCGCACTGATGACAAGTCCCACAACGAGACGAAACGGCCATCCAGTGCTTCCACGTTTCCAATGGTTGTCTAACATCAATCGGTTCATGATCTCAATCAAATAAAATACAATAAATTTGTAATATCCTAGGGAGTACAAAAATTAAGTTTTCCGACGTTTCGCGACCTAATGTAAAACTTATTTTAGAGAATAAAGTCATTTCAGTCACAGTCGATATATGCCATCAGGACTGGTAAATAGCAGTCCTAACATCATCAATGCGAAAAAGAAATAAACATTTACAAAATACGTGTTTAGTCATTCGATTAATGTTTATCAAAATCCTATCAGGAGATTACTAATAATAAAAGAGGAAATTTTCTAAACAATTAATTCATCACTGAGTAGTACCAAGTCTCTATTAGTGCTGATTAGTATCATGTCTATCTAGTCATTTAGTGTTGATTGACTTATATCAATCAAGTTGCGATATGACTAATAGTGGCGGGACTACAATTTATGGACGAAACAATCAGATTTAGGATAAGATGCCTTGGATTTTGGCCTCGAAATCCATTCATCCATTTTAAATAATAGCATCTTTGCATTATAGCTGACGTCAGTTCATGATGAAAACCCTAAATCTAACTCCTAATCCAATCATAATTCTAATTCCTCGCACTGGTCTATAACCCTCGTCTATCATTAGTTAGTGGGTGGACATGTTCAAGGTTACCTTAGAGTCACTCGAAGGTCGTCCATCAATTATAGTCTCACCGATATATGTTTCATACGTTTTGGGATTCCTCTTATAATTTTAAACTGATTACTTTAATAAACACCAGATAGTTTTTTTAGAAAGGGATCATACATGGGTATCTGTTGATTTATGTGTGAAATTAAGCAAATGATGACAAGAAAGCGCATTTACCAATTTTTTAAAATATTCTTAATAAGTCTTCTGATTGAGCACTAGATTCGGTTCCTAAGCTCTACTAGCAACCACCAGGCTAAATCTACACAGCGATTTGAACACTAGAGAAAAGGCGTGAAATATGTAAGAAACGCTTGACTCTAAGGTTCGTTTACGTACAGAAAATCTAAGGTTTTGTGGCATTTTGTATGGCCTTGAGTTTCCGGAAAATTCTGGAACGCTACTGGACAAATTAGCAGTATAGGTAATCATACAGTTAGAAACGCGACATGTGACGTTTTACTTTCTAGATGTTTCTGTAAAAATATCTCTTGAACGCTGATAGGATAAAATGTTTCTTAGCGTTTACAGATCCTTTTTTGGTTTTTTTCAAGGAATTTTCTGGATCACCTCAACAAACTTTTGTGAATCTTGATTATGCGTAAATGAAAACACAAAAAAAGAAAACAACTAACCGAAATAGAAATTACTTTGATATTGTTTACTTGAATCTTCTCATTGATGTTTAGGATTGCAAATGATCAGTCTCTTATCGGTATATATGCAAACTGTGGCTAACGCGATAGCGTTTGAAGCGAACAGTACTATATTCGAGTCTCAGAGTGAACATCAATTCTGAGAAGCAAGTACATTCAGTTGATAAGTCCTAAATAGGACAAAACACGCGTCCTGGATCTCACTGCTAGCCACTATCCATTTTTGCTTATAACCAAAATATATTTTATTCATAGAAAGATTATCCTTTGAAAATCTTGACTAACCGACAGTCGATTGTTTTTGCTTTGCGCATATCTATGATCTAAGCGACAAAAATGACAATTATTCATTGTTTGCTAACTGAATGAATTTACTACTAAACTACTAGATGTTAAACTATTTACTTTTGTATTCAACTGACTCATGATCTTAACCATTGAAATTAATATAATATCCACAAAAACCCATTTCTGATATTAATCAACATATGCTCACTAGTGACTGGCTTCAAGAGGTATATCCTGGAGTTCTTGTGAGAAGTAGTGATCAGTGGAGTTCAACCAGGTCTATTGTGAGATAGTAAATCACTGAAGACAATGGTGGATGTGACGCTCAATTTCGTGGATTAGATGAAGTTAGTAATTAACACTGCTAGATGCCGACCAGCTCAGTGGTCTAGTGATTAAGCGCTCGCGCGCGTGACCAGTAGGTCCTGGATTTGAATTTCGCTGGGGGCAATGTCGTGGATGCGCACCGCTGAGGAGTCCTAAAATAGGACGAAACGGCCGCCGAGTGCTTCCAGGTTTCCATGGTGGTCTAGCTTCAACTGACTCATGATATTACCCATTAAGATTACTATAATATCCACAAAACCCATCTGATATTATTTAGGACATTGATCTAATTTGAATGAAAGCAAAGTGTAAAAGCCACTCACTCTATATATAAGTGTATATTATATAAAAGAATTTCTACGTTGTGTTAAGTACTAAGTTTTATATAAAGCTGAATAGAAATCGTTTATTTTAGGTTTTACTGAAGTTAAATATTTATCTGATTTATTTGAATTAATTTCTTTAATGATATTCATTCATAGTTGTTTCTTAATATTCAAGCTGTCGGTGGTAAACATCTTTTAAGTGATATATGTCAATTCAATAATGATAATCAATTATATGGTCGAACAATTTATCCATTAAGAGGAAATATATTAATACGAAATACAGCGGATAAAAGTAAGCTTTATTACGTATAAGTGTATCATTACAAAAAGAAGTATCATGTTTTCTGTGTGAGTATCTATTTTTAATTATCTTATAAACATTGAATTAACTGTTGAATGCCTTTGAGAACACTTTGGAAAAGTTTTTAGAAGCTGAGAAAAGCCTTAGTTCTATCATAGTGAATGAGAAAATAAGTGGGGACAATCGGATGTATTAAAATAAAGAATTACTGAACATCCTAGTAGAATCTGAGACTTATTTACTTACGTAATCCTATTACTTCCAATGGAGCATAGGCCGCCGACCAACCTACTCTCCAACCCACTCAGTTCTGGGACTTTCTTTCCAGTCCTATTCAATTTTCGTTCATTCTTCTCATGTCTGTCTCCAATTCTCGGCGTAATGTGTTCCTTGCTATTCCTCTTCTCCTTTGGCCTTGAGGATTCCGTGACGACTTGCCTTGTGACGTAGTCGGATGATTTCCTCAATGTGTGTCCCATCCACTTTCAGTGCTTCTTCCTGATTTATTCCTCAGCTGAAATCTGGTTTGTTCTCTCCCACAATAGGTTGTTACTGATAGTGTCTGATCGACGGATTTGAAGTAATTTGCGTAGACAACTGTTAATAAACACTTATATCTTCTGAATGATGACTTTCGTAGTTCTCCAAGTCTCCGCCTCATACAATAGAACTGTCTTGACATTTGTATTGAAAATTTTGAGTTTGGTGTTGTTTGACAGTTGTTTTGAGTTTCAGATTTTCTTCAATTGTAGATGTGGTGCTCTTGCTTTGCCCATCCGCGCCTGAGAACCATACACTAAATACTTGATTTGCAAAATGTCAATCAATTGTCTCAGACTTTATTGTTCCTCGATTTCTCGTTCTCTTTTCTTTGATCTTCTTAACTTTCTGCCTCTAAGCATTTCACTTTCGATTGATTATGCATACTATTTATATATGTCGACATCAGTAGCACATACCACATTATCAACATTAAATAGGATATTTCCAATGAGTTAAAAAAAAGATTGATCTTTCGTGAAATTTTGGTTGGATAATTACCGATTTTGTCGCTAGTTTTCACGTTTTCAGAAGATTTCAAACTACCAATTTCATTCATAAACTTATGAATATTCTTGTTTACTACAATTAAACTAACTTTGGAAGTATGCATACTTTCATGCTTTCTGTTATTTGTCTTCCAATCGGGTTTCAAATGTAGGATATTTCTAGGGAACAAGAATATGGTTAGAAGTTGTTGTTAAACGTGTAAGTACCAGATATAACAATAACAATGGATAATATCATAATGTTAACCATAAGTGTCTATTAGCTTAATATTTTACCAAATATCATTCACTATTGTAACAATAGAATAATGCATAAATGATTCAAACTATTCATTATAAAGAAGAATCAATTTAACCGAATAAACGATTTGTGGAAATTGGTAAGGAGTCTCGTACTGGGATAAAATAACTGTCTAGTACTTTCTTAATTTTTAGTTAAGCTTTAGCTAAGATCAACTAGTGAGTTAAATTATACAAATGTAATTTAGTTCATTTAACTAAGTATTTAATGATGTAAACACTCTTAACAATTCAAATAATCATTTAATTACTAGGGGTAATTAAAAGTAATATTTTAGTAACATTTAATGATTTCTAATGTTCATCATGACAACTAATCATTCACGTTTAATGAGGATTTCAATCATTTGAAATAGACCATTAAGAATACAAAAAAGCAATTAGTTTACATTGTTGATAGGTTAGAACAAGAGATACATAGAAAATTATCAGGAGTTTCGTGGAGCGCTCACTCTCGAGACTGATAGGTTCTGGGTTCGAATGTCGTAGGGGGCGGAATCATCGATGAGCACTGGCGAGGAGTCCTATAGTAGGACGAAACGGCCGTCCAGTGCTTCCAGATTTTCCATGGTGATCTAGCTTCAATTGACTCATGATTTCAACCATTGACATAGGAAATTAACATAATATAGAAATAAATTAAATAATGTGATAGTTGTGAGGTTTTGACTTGTTTTACTGACATTAATTAACAGAAGAACTTCAAAAAATTTAAAAATAACACAGAATTAAAGTATATTACAAAACGATGAACATCCATCGAAATACTTTAATTCGCTTAATAGAAAAACTCCCTTTGATATTAACACAGAATCGTATCTACAAATTAGGAAGTACAGATTGTGACGCCTTATGTATTGAAGAGTCATCTTGTGAAATCTTGATTGAATTAAGGAATATCTTATGTACACAAAGAAACCACCTAATAATCCCATAGAACTGGAAAGACTCCAAGTTAAATCAGCAATAGCAGTTCATGCCATTTTCAATAACCACCAAATCGATATTATAAACGTCGAAACATTACAAAAAGCCTTTTCCGATTACAAAGAATGGAGAGTAGCTGAAGCTTTCCATATAATACTTAATCCTACTGCTCTAGATAGAAAAGAAGGCCTCACTAACCATCCGACTTAGACCATCCATCCAACCTACCATGTCTGATATTATTCATATTTCACACGATTATTGTACGTACAAATTAAACAACTATCCTTTCTCACCACAAAGATCACATTTTCTTCATCCCTGACCTTGCACACATACACACACAACTTTGTATACATGTCCCTTATAATTCATTATGACCGAAATGACATGACATTGATTTGTTCAAACCTGTTTTTTGATTGATCGCACCTAACATTCTTGCTTTGTTCCTTTGTACTATCTAAACTTGGATCAATTTTGATTTGATTATTTATTCTCTGAAGAAGTGGCTTACACTGAGCCATGAAACGTCAGAAAATCTAATTTTTCTACTTATTGGGATATTACAAATATATTATGAGATAGTAACTCACTGAAGACAATAGTAGACGGTGATTCAATTTTGTGGATTGGTTGAAGTTAGACATTAACATCGTTGGATGTTGGTTCAGTGGTCTAGAGATTAGGCGTTTGCATACGAGACCGATAGGTCTTGGGTTGTGGATGCTCACTGATGAGGAGTCCCACAATAGAATGAAACGGCCGTCCAGTATTTCCAGATTTTCTATGGTAGTCTAACTTCGGTTGACTCATGATCTCAACTATTGAAATTACTACAATCTCCACAAAACCCCTTCTAATACAAATATGTTACTTTTTATTTATGACATATTAATTACTATTTACATTAATTGGTTAAATGTAGACTAACATAATTATATACTTTCCTTTATAATTTCACAAAAAAATGTTTCCGTTTTTTTTGGGTTGAGGGGGGGGAAACTTTTGTGATAATAAATTAAAGTACTAATTTGATATTGTACATTTCAATGTGAAATGTTTGTTCAATGTACCATGTTCTTGTATTTATGTTCCTCAGTGTAAAAGTTGAATATTGAAACAACTATGTTTGTAAATTAACATTAGGTCCTGGGTTCGAATCTCGTGAGGGGGGGACGGTGGGTGTGCACTGCTGAGGAGTCCCATACTAGGACGAAACGGCCGTCCAGTGCTTCCAGGTTTTCCATGGTGATCTAGCTTCAATTGACTCATGATTTCAACCAGTGGAATTAATAAAATATTAAGAAGAAAACTTCATGTTCAAATGTCCTAATCAATGTGATTGATGTATAACATTCATTTATGTTCTATTTTCAATGGATCTGATTAAAAAAAGAATGATTTTTATTAGAATATTATAGTTAATCTAGATACTGATTGAATTGTAGGGAACTATATAACTAAAAGAAAATTAAGAATTATGACGAAAACATTGGTGTTTTATGTACTAATGTGTTAGGATCACTGTTACCAGAATGTCATAAAAATTGTTCCCTATTCTGATATGATTTATATATATACCGTACACTTCATGATATTACACATGGTCTTAGCTTAGAGAGTTAAGAAGCGATGACGTTTTAGTGATCTAGAGGTTGGGTATTCGTATACGAAACCAAAGGTCCTGTGTTTCGAATGCCATTTGCTAACAACATACTTCAAGATATTGTCTTAATTGTTCCACGTAACTCATCTTATTCAATCTAGAGCCTAAAATGTTTGTAAATATTTATACGATTTTATGAAAACGATTTACATCAATAAGGTTTTGTGAAGATTTCTAAGTGTTATTGAGATCATGAACTGAAACATGTTAGTTTTATAGTATCGCGAACTGACTGAAGTTAGACATGTAAACGATTGGATGATGGCTAAGCGGTTTAAAATTAAAGTGTTCTTAATATGATTTAAAGATCCTTGGTCAAACTTCGATGAGACTGCGAATATGAATTACTGAGGAGTCGCATAGTAGAACGAAACAGCTGCCCAGTGCCTCTTCGTTTTCAGTGGTTAACAAACATAAATCAATTCGTGATTTTAATACAAATAATTTTATTTTTAAATTTTCAATTTTTCCAGAATCTATCACTCCTACTGGTATTACTAAATGTGGACTATATCAAATACGTCTTACTGGTAAATTGTTTATTCTCAATACTGAACCAACACAGTTTGGTAGTCAGGAAGATCTGTTTAATGTAACAAATAAACAATCTATTAATAATCGTTTGGGAAAAGATGATCATACAAATATCATGTCTCATATAAATGGAAAGTTATTAAATACATATGAAGCTAATGATGATAAAAGCTATCAAGGACCATGTTCAATAGAAATCAGTGATTTCAATCCAAATCTAGGTATCTCTGGTGAATTCGATAATACACTAAGAATTAGACATTATTGTGAATCTACCATTTATCCTAGTATATTTAAATCAGGTAATTAATAATATCATAAAGTAATTTATTTTTTATTGTTCTCTTTTAATTCATACTGGAAATGTCGATTTACTCCTTGAGGTAGTTTAACGGTGTTCCCTCGAAAATTATATTCATTTGAGAGTAACAGCATGGGAAAAAACTCAGTTTTCTTGATGTTTTACTGAGCAGAAAGATAAGTCAATCAGTAAAAGTGTGCATAAAAGTAGTTCATCTATGTGTCAATACTCACATCACTTTAGCTCCGAACTAATTCAGTACATGAAAACCTAATTTTTCTGCTTATGAGCGAAGATAGAAAGATATGCTGTCACAATAACGTAAATAAAGAATTAAGCTTCATTTTTGATATGCTGATTGAAATGTGCCACACAAGGAGTTTTTTAACGGAACATTTGTATACGGTTAAGAAGAAATCAGATTCATGGATCGTTCGGAAGAAACAAGTAATAGTACAAGTAGTGATGTTTTACTTGATAAAGTAACTAGAGCTTTGAAAAGAAGCATTTCATGCATCAAATACTTGTTTTTCACTTTCTAACCGATACCATTGTATCTTTATTATTGTTGCGAATGTATGAATATGTACGCTTGAGCATTGCTTACTGCCTACTCATTTATTCACGCTGCTAGCCTTACTACTAACCGCTTAACTGATTCGATGATTCATTCATTTCACTATGTATATATATGTCTACGTTATTTATGTTCAATGCTCTCTCTCTCATCTGTGCTCGCTTACTCGTACTCATATTCGCTGACTCACTCGCTTGCCTGCCTGCCTTTCGGCAGGCTTGTTCAACGCCCCTGTAATTTTAGATAAGTGTGTGTGGTCCCATAATAAACGTAATCAACACTTTATATTCGCCTTTTGATTAATATAGCGTCAGAGAGTTATCTAGTGACGGTTATCAAGACGAATTCTGTACGAAGTTTAAGGATTGTATGGAATACCAACCACCACATGTTAATTGGTTTTACCACTTCATTATATATTTATGAATTTGACTGCTCCTGTGGAGAGATCCATATCAGAAGTACTGTCCAGTGACGTAGCTAACACAACTTATCGACTGAACCAATAGGTCCAGTATGCCACTCATTTGTTCATTCCGTGTAGTATTTATTATCATTATTAAAGTGTGTTTCGATTATCATTTTATAGAGAAGTAAAACTTAACTTTTTCACTGAATAATAACTTTCAACTTCTTTTTCACAGATCATCAATGTATTGCATCATTTAATATTGATGGAATTTCAACTATTTCCGCATCTTATTTCTTACTTATCACATATCTTAAAATTACAGATCAGTATTATTGTCTAGTAAGTGAAATCTATTTACTGCTATTTCATCATACTATATATAATAAATAAGAATATATTGATCTGTTTATTTGCTTTACTCTTATTTATGCAAATGGCTTTGCCGGATAATGAGAGTTTTCACACGATGCATTATTATAAAACGATAGTAGGAATGGGGATCGAGATTTTGACCGAAAATTTTGTGCTATATAATAACTAGATCACGCCTTACTGGATATTCGATTCACTGCAGAAAATAGAGAACCAGAGTGTAGACTAGACAATACTTTGTACAACATCATTACAAGCAGTTTACATTCAGCAAGTTTAACGTAGAAATCAATGCCAGGAAAGGAAATCACATTTTGATGGAGTTTTGTTCTCTGAGCTCAGAGAACAAAACTCCATAAAAATCATCCACCTGAGCTATAAATCTTCTCCCCCATCTCAAGAAAATCACACGGTTAATAGCATCTATTTGTCCGCGCACAGTGGCTAATCGCATTTTCTTCAAGTTATTGTAGTAAGAAAATTTAAATGCTGAAGTTCGGTGGTTATTTAACTAAGGTTATTTGAATCACTATAAAATACAATATAATATTCGTGAATCTTTCATTGTCTTTCTAGACAGGATTGTCTAACGATTGTACTAATGATGTTGTCTAGAAAGACAGTTAATGCTTCATAATTAAACTAACTATCTAAATAAAATAACACAACTTTAATAAATAATCGTGACTAGCTTCAAAAGGTATTTCTTGGAGTTCTAGTGAGAAGCAGTGGAGTTCAACCGGGTTTGTTGTGTGATAATAACTCACTGACGACAATAATGAATGTGTTTCTCAATTTCGTGGATTGGCTAAAGTTGGACATTAACACCGTTGGATCCTGGCCGGCTCAGTGGTCCTGTGGTTAAGCTCTCTCACGTGAGACTGATAGGTTCTGGGTTCGGATCTCGCGAGGCAAGATCGTAGATGCTCACTGTCCCACAATAGGACGAAACGGCCATCGAGTGCTTTCAGGTTATCCATAGTGTTCTGGCTTCAATTGACTCATGAATTCAACCATAATATAATTTCTTGTAAATTCTATCAAAAACAGTTTACTAGTATGTCCTTAATGAATATGTATTTTTCTCCTAGATCATTCAAATCAACAGAAATAATGATGATATGAATAATAATAATGGTAATAATCATAGCAATCAAAATTACACAATCTTTATGTATCATTCACCTCAGTGTCAATATGAAACTACACCATTTGAAGCTATTAAATTAGATGAAAATAAAGCATTTGCAAAATTATTACTCACTTCAAGTAAGTTCATTTCTACATATTCAATAAATAAATTGTAATATAAAATCTATGAATAGGTTTACTGTATAACAGTTAGCTCTGTACTAATCTATGTCTATAAAACATAGTCTGTGAAAGTAGAAGATATGGATAAACTGATTATAGATATCTTGGAAACATTTATCGGGCATCGTGGACTAATCAAGTGGGTAGTGTTGAAGATACGCTTAAGGTACTTGGAAAAGGTGGTGAATTGGTTGACGGTTATATTTCTTGAAGGAGATGGGGGAAAGTTAGCTAGTGTAAGAGTAAGTTAGAAGAAAGTTAGGTGCAGTCAAACTAAAATGATGCGGTTCAAGCGATAACTGTGATCAGTGTTTGGAGACTTTTAGTGATATGATTCGTAATCTTTCTCAGATGATTATATATGTTCACTCTATATCTTCTTCAATATTATGAATCCCGAAATCCCTTCATATATAACTTTTTTTATCCTATCTTTTTGGATCATATTCTCAATGTTCAGTATTTTTGATTGTCACTACTGCTACATCATTCCAATTCCTTTGGTATTAACATTTTCAAATTCATTTTGTCGTGCTAATGTGGTAGTAGAACTTAGGCTTATAAACATATTTGTCGAAGCAATTCTGACGTATTTCACAATGAAGTCGTGACCGATTTCAAGTTATTTTTGTGCAATATGCGATAATTTTATCACTTACAAAGCAGCCATTATATTTAAGCTAAATAAATATAGTTGAATTCATGAGTCAGTTGGAACGAAACGGCCGTCATTGGTGTATTGCAGCGCTTCCAAGTTTTCCATGATGGTCTAGCTTTAATTGACTCATGAATTCAATTATTAAATTACCACAATCTCCACGAAATCCCCTTATGTTAATAAATATGTTAAGCATCTACTCACTTTCCAGTTTAAGTAATAAGATTATCAACTAAACGTTTTGTCTACCAAACTTATTGTTAAACATAGAATGAATTTTCATTAAGCTATAAGCATCTCATACATTAGTAAGTTAAAGACATATAATTAGAATCTGTTCGGAATAGAATCATCAGTGGGAAGATTCAAACAAACAATTCAAAATTAATTTAAACTTCCCCTCATTGAACAAGCAAGTGGTTATCAGGACTCAGTAGCTAAGTAGATATAACGATGCCGTTTGAAGCGAACGGTACTTGGTTCGAGTCTCTGAGTGAATATCAACTGTAGGATGAAAGTACATCCAACTGACGAGTCCCAAATAGAGCGAAACAAGTGTCTTGGATTCCACAGCTAGCCATTATCCATTTCTGCTTAGAATGATTGTAATTTGAGGCAATGTCAAGGTAATTCCCACAGGACGCACATATGCCAATAAGAGACTGATGAATCAATGAGGAAGATTCAAATAAACAATACAGAATGAACTGAATAGTTTTCGTTGTACATTAACTCTGATTTTCTGTAGACAGAATTTTATGGTCATTTTGCCTTATCTAATGAAATTAGATTGTTGAAAATACCTAGCAATTTGAATACAATGTACATATTGAACTACTCCCGTTCACAGTCTATGGTTTCTAACAATTTTACCGGGCTGTTGATTAGCACCAAGTCATAGATATATATAAAGGTACGTATTGTCCTTTTGTAAACCTTTGAGAAACCATTTAGTGGTAGTGGGTGCGACTCATGATATCTAATATTTTCCTACGTTGATGCTCAAACGAATTTTTTAGTTTGATCTTTGCCGATTATATCAGATCTTTGAAGACTGTAGAATTTCATCTGCTTATTTAATACAAATCTGATTTTATCAATGTAGTTAATCTTTATTTAAACTTTCGATCTTCAATCTTTCGTCTTATTCAATACTTAATAATTTCTTTTATGATTTGAAATTCTAGTCATTACTATACTAAATATTTTCTGTTACGTGTATGTTCATTTCAATGACGAATCGATGTCACTTCGAATCTTTACAATTTGTACATTTACACGGTCTCTGTCGATCAACTCATAGTTCACAGATTCTCAAAAAACGTTTAACACGTTAGTGGTCCGATATCTGACTCCGATTAGATCGTATAAAATGAATTCATGCTATTCTGCTAGAATGTTTGTTCTTGCTCTTTTCAAAATGATAAAGGGAACTATATGTATAAAATGATTGTTATTGAAATATTTATTTCCGCTATCCTCGTATATAATCATCAACTTAAATTGTATTAGTGAATAACGGAATTAAATAATCAGAGAGGGGTTTTATGGAGATTGTAGTGATTTAATAAATGAAATCTTGAGCTAATTAAAGCTAGACCACCATGTAAAACCTGGAGTTAGATATTAACCCCGTTAGATGTCGGCTTAGTGGTCTAGAGGTTAAGCGTTCGCTCGTGAGACTGATGGATCATGGGTTCAAATCTCACTGGGCCGGGTCGTTGATGTGCACTGCTGAGTCCCATACTAGGATGAAACGGCCATCTAGTGCTTCCAGGTTTTCCATGATGGTCTAGCTTTAATTGACTCATGAATTCAATTATGGAATTAAATAAGTCGATTTGAAATATATATATTTCATACACTCAGTGATTTGAACAAGCAATCAGTCAAACGGAGCAAAGAGGGAAGAGCGAATTGGAGAAGTCAAATGAGCCAACTCCACTTAATCAATATTTATAGTCAGATAAAAATAAGCTACAGACATATGATGAGTAAGCTAAAAAGTGCATACACATACGCTCACATAAAAACAGTCAATGCTGATAAACGAATAATTGACAAGGTCAAAATGTGACTCAAAAAGAATGAATAAATTGGTTTGTCCAGAAGCTAGAATAACCCATGTTTACTTAACATAGTAACCGACACTACAACGTCTAGTGATAAAATTTCTTATTGTAGCTTTTTCAGACTTACATAAGAAATATTATAAGTATATTCACTACAACTATAATCTGTTCTTCCAAATAACTGAATTCCGCCCTTGTTCCTATTGTGGTGTGTGCTACTTATATTGACATAAGTAGTATATGATGTTAGTCGTGAACAGGTCTGGAAGCAGAGAGACAAGAGGATTGAACAGTAAAGAATGGCAACAGGATGTAATTTGTATGAAAATGCAAGAACTATGAAGTCATTTTTAGACAATTGGTGGACATTTTGCAAATCAAGCAATCACTTTATGATTGTTAGATTTTATTAACAAGTCCTGTAATTTAGTGTTAAATACATTCGATTGTGCCCACTCGTGTTCTGTTCACTACAATATTACTTCTTCAACGTAATCTATATATCTTTGAACGTTTTAAATGAATGACCTAAATGAATGAATCTTCAAGTTTTACATTGTATTATGATACAATAGTTGAATATCTCAAACCTGAGTAATTGCTTATAAGAAAATTCTCTTGTATTATAAATAATCTAGAGCCAGACACATATGTGCGTTAACTCAAGTTACCATATTACATTAGTAAAAAGAAACTAAACTAACAAGATGAATAGTCAAGCTGTCAAAATAATCAGAAAGTGTTATATCTTGAAAGTTGATTTCTCGATATACCGCGTATAACAGAGCACTAGAACACCAAAACCGTCCCAAGTCGCAATAAGAAGACGGAAGATTAATGGAAGGAATATTATTCCAAACAGTGTCAATCATAGTACAAAATTGTCAGGTATTTATAGTTTTTAGTGAGAACGAAATCATCATTACAGTCCTCCAATCCGGATACAGGGGGCTACCAGCATTGTCCAATCGGGAAGCTACACGTTGAAACTCTAGAATATTCTTCCGAAAGGTGATTGGATGAAACGTCTTCGGCGCCTTCTGAGCCTCTTACAGCTTCCTCAAGTTCACCGGTGGTCTGTCGTGACAGAAAGATTAAACATAGAGAATCTGGTTCGAAAAGACGGAATACAAGGTGATGATGAGTTGTATGACATGGTGTGAAATGCAATGTATATTTCTGACAGATCTAACTCATATCAGTTTTGGATAATGGTTGGTCAAATTCAAATCAATAACTTTTATTATCCCTCACTATTAAATCATAAACCAATCTATCAACAATTTCACTGATAACGACTATGTCATTATCCTATCTTATTGTTTTAAATAAATTATATATTTGTAATATCCTAACAAGTAGAGAAATTAGATTTTCTGACGTTTCATGACACAGTGTAAGTCACTTCTTCAGAGAATAAGTAATCAAATCAAAATTGATCCAAGTTTAAATAGTACAAGGGAACAAAGCAAGAATGTTAGGTGCGATCAATCAAAAAACAGGTTTGAACAAATCAATGTCATGTCATTTCGGTCATAATGAATTATAAGGGACATGTATACAAAGTTGTGTGTGCGTATGTATGCACTGATCCGTTGTACCATTTAAAATTGAATTAATTTTGATTTGGTTATTTTTTCTCCGAAGAAGTGGCATACACTGAGTTACGAAACATCAGGACATCTAATTTTTCTATGCATTAGGATATCTATAAACATCCTATTTTTATTTTTAACACTCTAATGCTCAGTCTATTCGAAATTATTGATTGAGATTTTGAACCGATTGATGTTAGATCATCATTGAAAACCTGGGAGCACTGGACGGCTGATTCGTCCCATGTGGGACTCCTCAGAAGTGAGCACCGACGATCCCGCTCGCAGGGTTCGAACCTAGGGCCTTCAGTCTCGCAAGTGAACGTTTAAACTACTAGACCACTGAGCCGGCATCCAACGATGTTCATGTCTAACCTCAACGAATCCGCAAAATTGTGCGACCATCTTCCATTATACTGAAGTAGATACCTGTCTCTACTCGACACGGATTAACTCCACTGGTCACGGCTTCTCACTAGAACTCCGAGGATTTCCTCACGAAGCTAGTCATTAGTGAGCACATGGTAATTATTAGTATATGGTTGTGGAGATTATTAAATTATTGATTGAGATATTGAATCGTGTATGCACACTGTTGAGGAGTCCTGCAATAGGACGAAACGGTCTTCCAGTGCTTCCAGGTTTTCAACAGTGGTCTTACACCATTCGGTTCATGATCTAAATCAATAACTCAATAGTCCCCACCACCCTTTACTGAATATTCGAAATTATCAAGCCAAACCTTGGTAACGATACCTCTCATATTGTTTCTTTTGTTTTGTTTTGTTATTATTTTCAGCACAAAGACAAAATGACAATTCTACAAGTGGTAGTAGTAGTAGTAGTAATACTATTATAACTCCAATATTGAAATCATTCAACAAAAGTTTTTATTTATCATCTAGTAAATTAACAAGACCAATTCAACAATATACAACAATTCATAATGATTATCAACAACAAAATTTGACACGTTTTAAAGCGTTACGTTTTCTATCGAAACCAATTAAAAAAACGCGAAGTTTCTTTATCATCAATAATCAATCCTCACCAATCTATTCAACTATTTCTTCTTATAATTATTTATTAATATTTTTAATTATATTTAGAATTTATTGTTAAATTCAAAATCCTCAATTTCTCATCTTTCTCCGTGTATACTACTATAAAATATTATCAGTAGTAGTATTAGTAGTAGTATTGAGTAATAATAAATATGTGATTGTACAGTATACATGAAATGATATAATGGATACGATGAGTATCGTTGAAACTATTCAAATCAGCTTAATTCAAGGATGAATTCATTGAGAGCAAAAAAAGTAATAGAGCCTTACACATAAAAGAGAGAAAACGAACAAACAACCAACCAACAAGAGAGAAAAATTTTTTTTCTGAAATAAATCTTTGTTGAAACCAGGATGATTAAGCGAGTTCAATGGAGTTCCTTTTTCTTCTTTTTATACAATTGACTTTTCTTACAGATTTTATGTTTGTTGTCTAGATTGTTCTCTTTCCATATTATTGGTTCTTCTGTTGTTAAGTGATATTATTCTTATTTTTAAAATAAGATTTTCTTTCATGTTTTGTGTAATTTTGAGTGAATCAAACTTCTATTATGTTCAGATATTCATTGTAAGTAATTAAAACAAACGAGTGTATATATTGTATAACAACTGTTTATAGTGGTATATTTGGTCTAGTCATCAGGGAACTAATTAAGTGATAATAATAAATGATGACCAATTTCCTAATTAAAATTTACAATGATAAATATGAATAACTAAGAGTTTATAATTTGCCATTGTTGATTGATATTCAGATTTTCACTTGATTAGTATCTGTTGCTATATATGCATCTTGAGTGAACTTGTTCACAAGTTAGTGTCTGTCTGAACTCAGGAGCATAGTCGATGAATGGCGTGGTAAGCGTTTGAAGCAAAGTGTACTGGATTCGAGTCTTAGTAGGAATATTAACCACTGGTATAGACGTGCAACAGTCTGACGAGGTAAATATGGGACGAAACGCGCATTTTGAGTCTTAATAATAACCACAAACTAAATGCATCAAAATTAATATAAATCATCACATACAGAAAACGGTGACAATACTAATCACAAAAAAACGCATGTTCAGTAGGTCGTCATCTCATACCGTCAATAGATCCATTTACTACAATAGATGCTGATGGCAGGTCTTACGAATACGTAAAATGTCTACACAAATTCATCTGTCAGGCTTCATTGTAGGCATTTACTCATTTAGACGTTTGTACAGAAGCGTCCTAAGAATATGTTATTATTATCAGCCGATGCAAATTGTGTAAACGGTTTATGGTAGATCTACATTTGGAGAGACGTGAACTGTCTTGTTAACATTCGATCGGTTAGAATTGAATGGAAAAAAGTCCTATCAAATAAACGCTACTAAAAACTTGATAAGCATCTCGTTCTCTCTAAATTTGCATCACTAACATTACGATCCATCCTATAGTTTGTGAATGTAGATAAAGCCTGAATTTTATAGAAGTTTATGACAAATAATTCATTTTCTGAGTCGAACAACTGCTTGTCAGTGATAACAACAGATATGATCTCGATCACTTACTAATCTGTCACTTTGTGAAGCAAAATAAAACTGTCATGAGAAAATCTCATCTTTTGGTCAACTGAAACATTGCACATCATGTTCAAATTAGTGTCTAGTAGCAGTTAAAGTGTATGATATTCGAGTAAATCCAGGCCGCACTGAGGTCATATTAAGCAAGAGTAGTGCGTATTGAAAACAAGATACGACTGATCAACTTATTGCCCATATGAATCATTAAAAAAGTTGATCACAGTGAGTCAATCCAGGCAATATAAATGATAATGTCTGAAGAATCATAGAAGACAATTACCAACAAAAACTCGTCACTGAACTTTAGGAAGCTACAGGATAGAAAATTCAGTCAAACATATAACTATTTAGGCTACGAGTGGTTTGAGACTATTCAGGACACCATAAGGATCGATCACACTAGAAAATAAATTGTTTCTTAACAGCCATTTGGCTGTTAAAAATACTTTATTTTCAACTCGAATAAATGCTGAATGGAGAATTATGGACAAACGATTCAGTTGCAACAAAAGAATACATAACGATGACGAAAACACTACATAATATGAAGTGTTAACCACAAACTAATCTTCATTATTACAGTTGGCTAAGCCAAATAGATTACCAATTTTTATTGTGACTAACCGATAAGCCAATCATGCGTCAAGAAATATGATTTACCGTTAACGAAAATCATCGCTCGCATGAATGCCACATACCACTGTATCTGACTCACTGACATCTAATTACATTGTCCAACCACTAGTAAGTAAGCTACAACGTAGGACCAGGCACATATGTGCATCGGTCCAGGTTGCCATACCGCATCAGCACAAGATGAACACCGGATTCATAGCAGTGGTTAGGTCAAAGGTAGTAATATGTAAGAGAAAGATTGCATATAGAGATATAGTACAAGAAGAACGAATTGGCTCGTAGAAAGAAAGATATGAAGCGATTTAAATCTCTTAGTTTAACGGAAGATAGAGTGTATACAGCGACGCCATTGTGATCGATTCTGAGCCATGTCACCCAGAGTCTCCAACCACTGTTTACGATAGTCACGCGGACCCCAACCAAGTAGTCTGCGTCTGCCAACATGGCTCAGACTAGAAGTTAGTGACCTCAAGAACTGATGCCACGTTTTGGTTTGGCCGCCCCTAATTCTCTCCCAACCATCCCGAACAACGGTTAGCATTGCGCGTCGTGGTAATCGGTGTTCAGGCGTACGTAACACGTGGACCAACCATCTCAGTCGATGAAGATTCACAACCTTATCGACTGATTTACCATCATTCCCTAATACCCTGCGTCTAACCTCACTATTACTTACCCGGTGATCCCAGCAGACGCCAGCAATATTTCTGAGGCATCTGTGGCCAAATACTAGTAGCTTACGAGTGTCTTCTACTCTGCCGTAAATTAAAACAGGACGGACTGCCGCGCAGTATACAAGTCCTTTTATTGATAGACAGATATCTCGCCTTCGCCATAGGTGACGTAAGTTGGCAAAAGCCAAGCGGGCTTTTCGAATCCGTTCTGAGATTTCGTCAGACACCAACACATTAGGGTTGATCAGACTTTCAAGATAAGTGAAGTTGTCAACGCGTTCGACTACTTCACTCCCTACCCTTAGTTGTGTTGACGCAGACCAGTCCAACCACTAATAAAGCAACAAGGAGAATACCAATCTATTCAATATGTACACGTAAACAGATACTATTAATGACATTGTTACTAAAAACTACTACTGAACAGTCCAAAAACATCAATGGGAAGATTCAAGTAAAACAATACCAAGTGAATTAAACTTCACTCCATTGCTCAAGGAGTTGGCTATCAGGACTCAGTAGCTAAGTATATAACGCGATGGTGTTTGAAGCGAACGGTACTGAGTTCGAGTCCCAAAGTGAACATCAACTCTGAAATGCAGGCACATCCGGTTGATGAGTCCAAAACAGGACGAAACGCGCGTCAAACTGGATTCCACTGCTAGCTACTATCCATCATTGCTTATAATGCTTGTAAATTAAGGCAATATCGAGGCATACGCACAGTATGCATATATGCCAATAAGAGACTGATCGATTTCAGTCCAAAAACATCAATGGGAAGATTCAAGTAAAACAAAACCAAGTGAACTACTTATAGTTGTTTTACATTTTTCCCAATGTAGTACAGAGTTGAACTTAGGGTTGAAACAAACCGTCTAGTTTTTCAAAAAAAAGGAATTTTCCCATTCAATCTACAATATCGCATAAATTCCCCCCAACCCACCCCAATATACATTTCATATAAGGTACGACAAAATATGAATAGTACCAATTTACTTTAAAATTGAGAATTACACATATAAATCATTCGACTTTGTCGTCAAAATCAGAAACAAATAGAAGAATTGAACTGATCTCATGTTGTATATGTTGAATGGTTAAACAGAAAAACGATTGAATTTAATGCGCATAAAGTGTGTATGTGCGTGTGTGTGCATGGTAACATAAAGAAGATTTATGAAGTGTATACGAAAAATAAAAAAAAGGAATGATATTTGAATGGTAGGCATTTGGTTTGTACAAACCTTAATAATGGTAACGATAGTGATAATAATAATAATCATAATAAGGCAGACAGTGAAGAAAGCAGGTAACATTTCTATGCAGAAAGGCACTTGACAGTTGTTTGATATTTTTTAAAACGAAAAAAAGAAACGATACAATATTAATGAATATTCTGCATTTTCGAATGTGTATGTAACTGACTAATATGGCTTAATGATGGCAAGCAAAATTTGTGCAGTTTTATTTTTGTAAGTGAGGAAATTTAAACAAGAAACAAGTTTATGAGAGGCATCAAGAAATTGACAATTTAAGAAGATACACGAAAATAGCACATACACACACACACGCATAGACAAACATATTTATCTATGTCAAATGATTCCGTTAATTAAATTAATTAATTATTTTATTTACGCTGATTTAAGTATTATTGTTATAAACAGTTTGCAATTGTGTTCCTAAGGGATATCAATCACGAATGGGCTACCTGGTACATCCTGATCACCCCATTTAATTACTAAAAAGTGTTTACCACTTTGAAATACACGATATGATACAGTGTATTGATTATTGGATAAATGTTTGACGACCACTTCTTCAGATGCTTGTTTCGGACCACAAATACCAATAAGTAGAACATCATTACCTGAAATTAAAAAAGGGAATAGATTGTCAATCGGAAAAAAAGCTTATACAAGTAAAAAAACATTTTTGATTTAAGCAAAGCTGAACAGCGGCTAGTAGTGGAATTCAGGACGATCGTTTCGCTCTATTTGGAACTCGTCAGCTGGATGTATCTGCATTCCAGAGTTGATGCTTACTTCGGGACTCGAACCCAGTGCCGTTCGCTTCAAACGCTATTGCGTTCTCCACTAAGCTACTCAGTTCTGATAGACACCTGCTTGTTCAATAGGGTGAAGTTGTTGTTTTACTTGTATCTTCCCACTGTTATTTGGCACTGCAAC